TCCTTTTGATACTACTACATAATAAATATAGATACATTTACAATATAGATTCATGATATTTTTTCCCCCATATCCTTCCTGAACTTTTTCACGAGACGAAACGTATTCGTATATGTGATGTACGATTTTGGCTGTGACTCACTGTATGTATTTAATAGTGATTTAATTATTAAGATTTCTTCTGTTAATTCGACATTGCATATACTATTTGATGATTTTAAATTTATTGATTAAAGATTAAAGATACGACAAAATACATAATAACTTTTGTTTGTAATCTGATAAAGATATTAATAGTAAATGCAAATACTGTACAAATGGTCCTTTATATCTTATTTTAACAATATGAATTATTATGAATTACCTATAATACAATATAAAAGGTTTCGTATCCAGGGAAAAACTTTCGTTTTGAAGTTATGGTAGTAATAGTTATGATAGTAATTTTGCAAGGTGTTACCGTATTTCAAAAAGTTAAACTCAATACCTACATAAGTAACAAATTCATTTCAATAATCTGACACATATAAGTTTATTTAATTTCATGAATATTCATTCAATTGAATATATCACAGATCCTTGAAATGAAATATTGAACATATTGTATGAAATTCAGGAGCATTAATACCTTTGAATATGTGATATTTATGAAACATAAATTATAATACGGAACGTAAGTATTATTAATTAATGTACGTGATAAATACGACTCGAATGTTGTCGTAATATGTATCTGTTGAATATGCAAAATTGATGCATATCTACGTATACACGATATTCCCGAAAATCGGACAGGATCGAAGACAAAAACTTATTTTGAAAATATTTTAATTACACGTAAAATAATACCCGTACTAGATTTAAGTGTGTTTTATACATACTCCAATAATTTTATTAAACAGACAAATTATTACTCTAACCATCAAAATTATTTAAAAACGAAAACACGAAGACTTTCGTGTTTATGTTTATAACAAAATATTTGGAAGAATTGATCCAGTATTTTAAATAAATAGACAGAAAATTAATAGTATCAATCTTAATGGTTTGTAGGAAAATTAAATTTTGTAAGGATTATAATACAATTTATAATTTAATCCTTAAAGGGTTAAGTACATAATCAAATATATAAAAATACATACTTATGTAGATTGAAAGCTTTTTTTCAAATGATCTTGCTTTTTTTTATTATAATTTAATTATAAAAATATAAATGATTATACAATAATCACAATGTAGAAACAATTATTATAATTGAATAAATACTCGAAAAATGGTTGTGTGTTTCAGTACTTTCACAAATGTGGTAGATGGAGGTGCTATTTCGAAATCCAATTAATCGTCCACGTATTGTCTACAAGTGATTCATTGGCGGTCACGTACCTGCAACTTTTGTTACTATCACTAATTGCCGCTAATGGTCGGTCACTGTTAATTACGATTAAGGCTAACCTCATATTACCACTAAAATGTTAGTTTAATTGAGTTAATAAACATGGTACTGAACTTTCCCTACGACCTAATTAAAGACAACGTTTCCTTAAGTCTGCATGAAGACTTTCAGTTCGAGAGAAAGTTTTTAATTTCTACTTAATACTGCAAATCACACATTTTGTCTATTTACAATTCTTATTTTTATCTTAAAAAAGTTATGATATAGGATAGAACTTGTTACATTTTTGGTGCTTATAATTGTAAGTTGAGTTGAAAACACAATTCTTCGCTGATGATGAAAATTTGATAAATAATAATTATAGCAATAATAATGGATATTATAAATTGCTTGTGATGGAAACAATCTTAAAATGAATGCATGCAGATAAAGCACGTTTTGCCCAACATTGTAAGTTTTATTATTGTTAAAGGTGTATTATAAAATATAATATTGTTTTCTGAAATATTAATTATTAATCCTATTGGTGTTTTTATTTTCTCGGTCTAGTGAAACATCCAATATAAAATCAGTTTTTGTAACGACACACATAGAAAATTACATTCTGCTCATTATGTCCTAATGTTCCTATGACAACTGCAACATTTTTGCACTTGATTAACATGCATGTCCATCTAACTGTTAATCAAGTTTTTTTCTTTATTAATACTTTATTTTATAGATTCGTACACTTTTATCATAAACTAATCAACTTCAAAAAAAATTATCTTTCTATCTGACTTTCTTAATGTTTCTTTTATTTTCTATCAAAAAGGGTAATTTAAAATTTAGATTAAATTCAAATATTATTATATAAACATAATTATTAATCAAAAATAGATCAATTGAAATTTCGAATGATCCTAGCTTAAATAGAATTTAATAACACGTAATACTTTATAATAACCTTTATTAGTATGAAAGAAGCAACAGATTATATTTTATAAATAGTTTTATAACATTCCGTCGATTAACAATGTTTTTCGATAACTGCGGTACAAGGCAACTTCAATACGTCGGTGAAAACACATGAACGCGTAAACAATCTTTCCGACAACTGCTAATGGTTAAATTTTCTGTTTCCCGTGCTGTTCGGTATTCGCTGGCAACGATATTGTAAAATTCCAAGTTCGAGTTCCACTTACCGGGAGGGTGGTTTCTTGTTAAAAATTTTATCGATAAAATGGTCCGAAAAAGGAAGATAGCTCCGAGGAAAATATCAAGGAGAATGGTTCGGCTCGTAAAGCCGATGAAAATTGCTGCGCTGATCGTATCCGCTATACAGGATCTCCGTGAAACCAAAGGATCAACGCCCAAGAAGATCATAGGTTACATAAGTTATGCATCCGATATGGGCGAGGGTCGCGTTAAACGACAAGTAAGTGTCTGAAACATAATTATTACGGCGCCAGGAGAGCTTTAAAAGCAATCTGGACGTGCACCTCTGGTTATATTTAAAAGCTGAAGCTTCGTTTGTTTCCTTTGAACGGGGATTATTTGAAAAATATGTTACGAGTTAGATAAACGTTACTGCGCGGAGAATTATGGCTCCAGACTTCCTACATTTGTGATTAATATACCTCCATACTCGCACTCGATGCTCGATGTACATATCGTGTTATTTTTACATACCGTTCAATGAGTTTTTAATAGCTATTATTTCAAAATGAATAGTTAATGTTAAAAGTTAATAATATCTTTGAAGTATTCTGAATTTAGTAATGTAATTAATTATGAATATTCATTGATAAAATAGTTATTTGTGTAACATAAATGAAAGGAGATTCTTATAAACTCTGTTATGAATATTATATAATTAATTTAAACCCAATTTTTATCGATTAAGATGATAATTTTAATTCAACAGGTTTGAATTTTAGTACTTGTAAAAAATTGTATTGTTAGAAATTCAAAGCGACTTAGACATACTTACTACCGTTATGTTAATAGTTCTACGTAATACATACTTAATACCTTAGGTGATTCACGCAACTGTAACAAATTACATCTTTTTCCCAGCTGAAGATATAAAAAAATGTTGCAGGACAAAAATGACTGGTATAAGTGCCTGCATATGTTAAAAGTCATTTTTTCTAAATAACTAACAACATAATCATCACTCGATTATGAAATCGAATATTCTTTTACCTAAAACGTAGAGAGGATTCAATTCGTGTAACAAAAGAGGTAGGTTCCACTTTCATGTAACTGCAAAATGCACATGCATTATTACATGTACCAAAAACCCATGATCATGAGAATATACAGAAACTTGTAGCATTCATTTTTGTTCTACAATTTTTTTTATTACAACCAGAAAAGAGATACAATGAAAACTGAATAATCTCATCAGGAACCTCTTCATAATTACAACATCGTTATCCCCACCAGGTTCCTTTTAACACATTATAGCGCCGGATGACCAACCACGATTGAAGAGTGTATATAATCCGACTATTGTCGAACTCGACGATTTCAACGTCTCTTCCTTTTTTATTCGCAGTTCTTTTCTGTATCTAAAACTTCAATAGCCTATTATATACGTAATTTCGATTGTTATTCTATCGTGTTTGGTGCCGTTTTAATAAAAAACAAAACAAACATGATGGTGAAAGATTCATTCTACAAAATTCAAAAATAAAAAAGTTTAATTTTTGAGTTAAAGGTCTCAAGCTCATCGTAAAATTTTAATACTGTCGAACGTTTCAACTCTCAGTCTTTCTTTTTCCTTCACTCGCGTTGTCCTTTTTACGGCCGCCATGCTAAAATCTTCGTTTCTTAAGGTGGATTCGATTCTGCCTTTTCATAATTGCAACCTTTCAGTTCCATTAAGTGTTGCAAATATTTATTTAACGTAGATCCAAATAATTATTCAATACATTGCTTAATTTTAATTTAATCTATTTTATTTTTTAATTGGACATATTTAATTGGATTATTTCCAGCTGGATTTAATATAATATGAATAATATTATTTAATTTTATTTAAACTGTATGTCTTATTACAATCGCGTGAATCACCCACTACATAATGATTTACACAGTGATATTTGTAGTGACGGTATTAATTTTCAACATTGACAATTACAGGTAAAGTCAGCGTTGCGAAGAGGTGTAGAGTATGGTATCTTGAGGAAATATAGAGGCAATTATTTTCTTCCGACCGGTGACGAAATAGACCGTGCGAATCGCATTGCTTTAAGATTTTCCAAATTACCATTACCACCCACGCAGTCCACGAAATCGGATTCGCCTCGTAAAATGATACCTCTGGGAAGTCAGAAGAGGTCAAACAAATATAATACAAATTTGAAGAAGACGAAACGTCTTATAAAAGTACGATCACCTTTGATTTCTCCCAGTGTTAGCTTAGTAGACGCGATATGCGAAATTAATGAAAATACTTCTTAATAATGTACAAAAAATGTCATATTACTGAATGCATTCTTGCAAGTGACTTGACGCTAAATTGAAAAAATCATGAGTTCAGAAAAAATTGTTTTCTTTTAGTTACTAAAATTTGTATTGAAAATTATAAGTTTGTAAATAATATCCCTAAATTTATTGGAAAATTGTATACATCTTAAAAATTCTTATAGTGAAGTTCTCTATAAATTTATTAAGTAAACTAACATGATTTTTGCAATATGTCGAAATTATTTTTCTAGATTCAGTTTGTGAGTTTTTTTTATTAATATAAATATCTGTCAAGTTTTTTTGTTACTCATAAATATTATTTTCTGTTCAAATGTATAACATAATCATATACATATGTACTTACTTGTAATTCAAATTATAGTATATAGTTCGTATTGTAAAATGTATAAGCAAACCACGAGAGGCATATTAATATAATAGAAATAAAGTATCCACTTATTATGCAAGCTGTTATGTTGAAAATTCGTTATTTCGAATTTAATCTTGTAATCCATGGCAACGTCTAAATATACTTTTTTAAATATTTTATACGAATTTACTTATTCATTAAGAGCACAATTAAACAATACATTATTGCGGTCAAATTAAGTCACTGAATAAATTGATCCGTTTACAGACAAATTTATAAAAATTCATTTCTTATACACTTTATTCAGTCAACTTTATTGAATCATTCTATAAATAATTCGGTATTTATATATTTCTTTAATTTTAAAAAATTATGATGGACGAAACTTTCTTCAATTTAAAATATATTTTCCTTCATTATCCATAGATTATCGTATCTATACATTACAATTAGATTTGATAAAGTTTTATGTATCTAATTTCTTTAAAAGAAAAGGAATATGAAAAAAAACTACATTACTTATGGAATGATCCAGTATATGAGAGGTTCAAACAATAATGCTCTAATTCCTATCTCTGAGTTCTTGAGAAAAACAACTTTAGTGAAATGCTCTTGAATTAGTTACATACTAATATTACAACGTTATTAATTATTACTAATCATGAATATTAATAATTGATATATTAGTATTTAATTAATCCAAGAGTATTTTGACAAAGCTTTTTTTCCTTAACAACTCATAAGAAGCAGTCAGACCACAATTATATTTAACTACTCATATATCACTTTACAAACAATAAACTGCACCCTTGAATTATTATCTGAATTATTGAATAGTCAAAAACACGCCAAAAGTTTCATTATGACGTATAAACCGTAAAAAACATCCAAATTAAACGACCAATCATCTAAAGCTACGTTCACAATCGCGGAACAAGAATACTAGTCATTTAGATGGTTCCATTGTCAGAACGATTTCAATACACAACGGAACCACATACAGTGGACAGCGATCGTAGATAGTCCGGGATGACGATAAGTCGGATGAATCGTTTTCTATTACGATATACCGATCGATCGCGTCCAAGCAAAGGCAGCGGCCCACTTGCTCACCCGTTCGCTACGTACCGGCAAAATTAAGTGAATTGAAGGACGAGCACTTTTCGTAGATTGCACCGAGGTCTGCGGCGGTCGCGCGCCATTTATAAAACTTAGAAGCTTCATACCCGTCCCGATAAACTTAATAGCTTCTGAAATTTACGGGATTTGCCGGAGCAGCGAAGAAAATTTCGAACATCTTCCCTTCCGCGAACGCATCGTTACTCGTCGCCTTTGCCTTTACATATTTTTTTCGAGATGCAGGATAAGGGTTGACTATGAACAGCGAAGTTGGTTATTCTGTCAGGTCGATTTCTGTGATTTTAACCCTTCCGCTCACTTCGCCGCAAATAAGTTTCTTGTGTAAATCTTTAAACAGTTAACTGCGTTCATCGAATATGCACGGCATGTTAAAATCAAAATGATATTAATTCTTTCAACGATGAATTATTTATTTTTTCAGATAAACATGTAATTCTCCTTCGTTTTGCTTTAGTTTATCGTTAGAATATATTATAGGTGCATTTGCCCTGTGTTAGATGAGTATACGTTTCATTGTTTCATTTCATTGTGAACATTACAAGATATTTTTTAAATTAAATTCCACCGTTAACAAGTTAACAAGATGAGAAGATTGAAAAAATTACCTTATATTGTACACTTAAAACTTTTCTAATTCTACTGCTAGTTTTCTAGTCTTTTTATAGTGATAAATGATTTTTTTTCTATTTTACGATACAGTGATAAAAGAAGTGCTGGTATCCAAACCTCGTTATGCGATGTCGACTATAATCAGCGCTGTTACTGAAAGCGTTATATCTGTCAGCGATACCAACAAAAATATTGTTATTAACACATTGATTGTTATAGATATTCTCTATATACGACGCAAATTTATATAAATATTTGGAAAGTATAGCCAATCGACATCAATGTAATATATTAAATTTAAACACGCTTAAAATTTGAATTTTTTTTATATTAGTATAAAAATAATTTTACTTAATCTTAAAATCCGCTATTTTTTGTTATACAATTATGAGAATAAAAATAATGCTTGAACAGCAACTTTATCTCCGGGTTGCAAATATTTTTGCAAACCTATAGTTTTTTAACAGTTTATCCTTTAAGCTTTCTGTTTTTCATTTAATACTAAGTCAAACACGTAGCGAATATTTCTATCTCAATTCTTTCACTTCGAGTTAAAGGGAAGACGACATATACGACTTTAAAAATAATGAAATTTTTGTTCCACGTATATACCTTTTGTATTCTAAGTAGTAAATAGATTGTAGTCATTAACACTTCTCTGCATTATTCTGGCAGATTATTTTCTCCTTTGAAGTAATACTATCAACAAGTGCAAAAATTATTTACTTCTAAATATTATTATTGCAGCCCCTTTGAAAACAGATTTTTCTTGATATTTAAGAAAGTATAAATTCTTTGTTTACCGTATTAAATGCAGTTCGATTTCTAAATAGTTCCAGTGTAATAATGTATAAGTTTGGCCAAACTGTTTTATTTATTTACTTTTTAATACTATATCTACGGTCATTCACTGTACAGTTTGTTCTATTGTTTTTAAAACAATTGATATTCGTTCATGTAGGTCTTCGAAATTAGAAGCTTAAGATACTCACCAAATAATGTTTGTAAAATACAATATGAGTCAAAGTGACTCGTCCCGTCAGTCTAGTGTTAATATGGCGTTTATGTTATAACATATGAATAAATATTACAGTTAAACTTAATTTAGAAATATGTCGTGACTTTTTGACCAATATAACACAATTATTTGTATTATTATATTCATTATTGCCTGCTATTAAGGAATAATATCGTTACTATCAAGTAACTATACTATTTACATATTAATGTAAAACCATTTTGATGTCTGCAGTGTTAGGTTATAAAAATGTTTTAAAAGATATTCGTTATTGAAACTCGCCAACTAATCCATCACTGAACACAATATCTGTTAATATGATATTCATATATTACCATCAGAAAGTGAATTTTCTGCTGGTCTCTCATACCAATGGCCACACTGGTAATTAAACGCAATTACAAAGTTTTAACAATATTGCCGCTACCGGAACTTTCTAATTGTCCCCTGGCCGTCCATTTTGATAGTCCAACGAACGCAACGGTTTATCATCTGCACTGCTATATCAGCGTCATATCTCCAAATGTTACAAAATTGAATTGTTAAAATTTAAAATCTAAATTAATCCCTTGCCGTGAGAATTCCTCTTTCTGAGCAGTCGGGCACGGCGTGTTTTATTCAAAATAATATCTTAACTGAAAGAGATAAAGAATAAATAATTCTTTTCTGATATTTTGAATTTTTTAGATGAAATAGAAGAATATAATAAAGTAACAAAATTGTAAAAACACTTGGAATTTCTTTTCTTCCAAAAATATATTATAAAATGTTACATTGTCAATAATACATAGAAAAAATTTTTTTGCAAAACAAGAAAGTAATTATAAAATTTGAGAAAATATAGAACTGTTTCATTTTTAGGAAACGAAAATATTTAACAATCAATCAGTTATGCATTATTTAAAAATATTTTCAGAAGAAGAAATAAGTAAATTGCTTTCATAGAAATTAAATTCCTTTCCCTTTTGAAAAATAAAATATTGACAGATGTCTTGCACTCTGAAAGATTCTGATATTCAAGTATTGCTATTGTTGCCATGTAATAATTTAAATTCTAATCTCCATAAAAATCATAGTTAGATAGAATTATTCCCTTCGAGGTTAGCGGCGTAGATTTCCATTAAATTCGAGAGGAACAACATAGACCTTGTCAGCCTATAATCCGTGAAAGCATAGTCCAACTATGAACAACGGAAACTGTGGAACAATTTGAATCCGTTTAAATGGTAATTCGGGAAGCTAGTTGGCACCTAAAGTCCCTTCGATATCGATACTGCGCCCGATACATGGTATTCAAACCAGGAAAAGAATCAGCGAACGTGAATAGCCACTTTTCGCATACATTTTTTCTCCACACTTTTTTTTAATCTTGGCAAAATGTCAAAGAAGAAGAATCCATAAAACATGAAAACACGTATTGTCGCGTTAAATTTCTTTCTCTGATTTATTTTAAGTTATAAAATACAGAGGTAATCTATGTTTTATTGCATTTTTCTGATTCAACTTTTAATGTTATGATACATAACACGATAAAAATTACTGTTTTGGCGTAACTGCATTGATTGTAACTTTTTAAATATCCTATTTTATGTTTAACAAAGTAATAGCGTCAGATATGTGTATAGATCTCTGAAAATAAAATTTAGAGTTATATAATAATAATTATATAATGGACTGTTAATATATACAATAATAAGATAAGTATTTCACATTGGTATTATTATAAAAGATTATTTCATAACTTAGAATTAATGCTTTTCGACTTTTGTCGGCTAATCTAGAGAGAAATATGGAGGAATTAAGATTAAGGATTATATCCTGTATATTATGAACACTAGTAAAAGTTACAACAGTTAG